TCACAAAATAGTCTGTTTCATACATTTAGTCTAGAACTGGAGTTCGCCTTTTTGTTTCCTCTGTAGTACAAATAATGAATCGCCACCTTACCGCGGTGGAGGGGTTTGAGTGTCCCTGTGATCCTGGGAGCTATGTTGTCCGGGGCATTAGCCCCTGGTAGGGTCTTCCAAGGCAGTTTGGTTCTGGGGGAGGGACCAGACAAAGAGCGATTCAGAAGACCCTAATGAAGATCAAAAAAAAGACTGCCGCCACCTCGCCCGGAATAGGGAAACTGGGACACCCCCCTGGAGCCAGGCCCGCGGGGGGGGGCTCGCCGGGGCGCGTCTGGTGGCCGAGCCTTGGGGCCCCGTGGGGCTCAGTCGGGCACAGCCCGAAGAAGCTACACGGGGCCACTTTCCCGAGGACCCACCACCCTCGGGGAAGAGGATCGGGGTCGGGTGCGATGCCCACCGGGTAGTAGGCAGGAGCAGGCGTCCTGGCGTACCGCCCCCTGGTGGCGTAGACTCGCTCTGGGGACATGGAATGTCACCTCACTGGCGGGGAAGGAGCCTGAGCTGGTGCAGGAGGTGGAGCGCTACCGGCTAGATATAGTCGGGCTCACCTCCACGCACAGCAAGGGCTCTGGAACCATACTCCTGGAGAGGGGTTGGACTCTCTCCTTTTCCGGAGTTGCTCATGGTGAGAGGCGCCGGGCGGGTGTGGGGATACTCACAAGCCCCCGGCTTAACGCCGCCCTGTTGGAATTCTCCCCGGAGAGCGAGAGGGTCACCTCTCTGCGACTGCGTGTTGCAGAGGGGAAAACTCTGACTGTTGTTTGTGCTTATGCACCGAACAGCAGTTCGGAGTATTCGGCCTTCTTGGAGTCACTGGGTGGTGTCCTGGAAGGGGTGCCGCCTGGGGACTCCATCGTTCTCCTGGGGGACTTCAATGCTCATGTGGGCAATGACGGTGAAACCTGGAGGGGCGTGATTGGGAGGAACGGCCTGCCCGATCTGAGCCCAAGCGGTGGTTTGTTTTTGGACTTTTGTGCTAGCCACGGATTGGCCATAACAAACACCATGTTAGAACATAAGGTTGCTCATAAGTGTACTTGGTACCAGAGTACCTTAGGCCAAAGGTCGATGATTGACTTTGTAGTCGTATCATCAGTTCTGCGGCCATATGTTTTGGACACTTGGGTGAAGAGAGGAGCAGAGCTGTGAACTGATCACCACCTGGTGGTGAGTTGGATCCAATGGCGGGGAAGGCTGCCGGACAGACCTGTTAAACCCAAACGTGTAGTGCGGGTGAACTGGGAACGTCTGGCAGAGGCCCCTGTCCGTGGGATTTTCAATTCCCACCTCCGGAAGAGTTTTTCCTGCATCCCGGGGGAGGTTGGGGACATGGAGTCAGAGTGGTCCATGTTCAAAGCCTCCATCGCAGA